CTGTCATCATCGCCAAATGTTAACGTGTAATTTTGGTAGATTACAACCGTTAGACGTGGTATTCGAACAGTGATTCTTTTATAGTTTACGTAATAATTTCCAAAGATTTATGCTAATCTCTACGGATTCAATAACAGTATATCAGCTCAATCAGCTTAGTTTAGACGCAGACAGTTACAATCACAAGTTAAGAGTTATCACGATGATTCAAGAAGAGTTTCGATAAGAAGTAAATAATAATTTATTAAAGTCAAGAAATTAAATGAAAAGGAAATAAAAAAAATAAAAAAAAAAGTAGAAGTAGGGATATACAAGACGAAGAGTAGCGTTGCGCTATCTTTTACAAAAGAGAATTTCTACACAACTGTTAGTCTGTCCTTTTACATGAGTTAAGAGACTGCCTATTTATACAAAATAAAATACATAGAAGAATATAACTAATATATCATATATGTCTACTATATCAACTATATCTACTATATTAACTATGTCGATTATGTTAGAAATGTTACGTATGTCAGACATGTTAGAAATGTTACAAATGTCACTTAGGTCGATCATCTGCGCCACATATACTGCGTCATGTTTTACCTGTTCACAATATTAAAAGTTATAATATATTTTAAAAGTTTACAAAAGGTATAATATTTATACATTTAGAATAAATAATAAAATTTTAATATTACAGTTAATTAATACTTATTATAAATAAAACTGATATGATTAATATTTTTTTACATTATATATTTAAGATGATTATGGATGTTGAAAGTTAATGCACATTTTTATAAGTAAAAAAAATGGTAATACTATTACAAAAGCTTTAAAAATAATTTATAATAAATACTGTCAATTGACTTTTTGATATGATTTCTCAAATTAAAGTGGTATTGAAGCTAAAAGTATTAAAAAAACTTTTTTCTAGTATTATGTAGATGAACAAACTTGTGATATATTACTTTATATTATTTATATTAGTGAACTTGAATGATCACAATATATAATAAGAAATCTTAAGATTCTATAATTACAATTATATATAAAAAATAAGAAAAAATTTTGTAAAATGTTATTTATGTCTAACCAGTTTTTATCATTAAAAATTATATTAAAAGAAATTACAAAAATACTATATAGTAATAAGCATTATAGGTATAATAACACTTATTAATTACTTTATAAATTCTTTAGAATTTTATTATAGTAATTAAAGAGATCAACATCTTTATTACATAGTTTAATCAATAATCATTAACCTTTAATTTAAAAAATTCCTTTGATTTATTTTTCTTTTGATTTATTTATTATTACCTAAATTTTTTAAAAATATATAATTTAAAAAAAAATTTTTTTTTACTATTTATTACCAAACTTATATTATATTTTAATTATTATAGAAAATTTATTTTAAATATTAAATAAAAAATTATTCAAATAATAATTGTATACATTGTAATATACTTTATTTTTCTTGTTATTTTATAAAATAAAATAAAATTATTAGATATAACTCATAATATCATCATTTTTAATTATAAAAAATATTCAGAATCTGAAAAAATCATCTTTAATTTTATATCAAAAAAAAATATTAACCTATAATATAAGTGAAGATATTATTACAAAAATTCAAAAATTCTTTTATTCTCTTCAAAATTACTTATTAATAAAGCCTTTGCAATTATAAATAGTTTAAAAAAAAATGTATATCTAGTCTAATATCTCTTAATTATCATTATTTATTTTATAATTAATATTTATTACTATATAAGCATATTTTCATAAATATATATGAGTATTTTGCAATAAAAAGAAGAAAACTATTAAAAAATTTTTTTTTACTTTTTAAATTAAATATTATTTTTTTTAATAAAATAAATTTAGATTTAACATTAACTCAAAAAAATTTTTACTACAAAGCATTTATATATAATATGTAGAATTATTGATTGGTTAGGTTTGAAAAATGTTTCAAAAAATATTTAAGAAAAGTAGTTTTAAAATATATAAAAGTTGTAAATTATTAATTATTAAACAAATCAAATAACAGAAAAAACAGAAAGCTTAAAACTTATTATTAATAAGTTAACTATTAATATATTAAAAAAAGAGGAGATTTTAGATAAACAGAAGTATATATACATATCTAGAGACATTCTAGATTTGATTATTATGCAATTTAATAAATAAATAAATATACATTAGTATGAAAATTATTTTTTAAGTTTTCAATTTATTTAATAAGTAAATAATAATAGTTATATTTTATCAGCCAATGGCATTACGTTATCTTTAATAACCAATAAATTTTGAGACATATGATTTTAAAATCATGTGACTACACTTTAATCATCTCTTAAAAGGAAATCAATAATGATCTAGTATGTATATATATAGTATACATATTTTTAAAAAATATAGCAAACTTATATAGTACAGTCAGTAATATATGTATTATATAAATAAATTTTATTATATACTGTATATATATGATGATTAACATATTATCATATATACATGTATAATACAAATTACAAATTTAATTTATAATTATATAATATTGATTAAATTAAAAAAGAAATTTGCATTTTTATTAGTATCTTAATATGCTAACTGAATATATATAAATAAACAATATACTTCTTAATATTTTTAAAATTTTTTTTTTCTTGAAATTTGAAAATACTTTTTTTTTAAAATTGTTATAACTTAATTAATCTAAATATATTTATTTATAAAGAATTTAATAATTATCTAAATCACCTATATAATAACTTAATTTATTTAAACAAATTTACAAATTTGATTTTTAATTCTTTTATTTTATATTTAAATTTGTTATTTTTTTAAAATATAAATTCAATCTTTTTATAAACACATTCATCTTATTTTTTTTCAATTAAATACTTTTTGTCATTATTATTATATCTAAGATAAATCCAGTTATACTTTCTGATATTAAAATTATTTCTAAAAATAAAATTATATCAGAAAATGAATTTTATAAATCATTAGATGAATAAATAAATAAGTTTGTGTCTATATTATTTTATTTATTTATTTTTTTTAATAATAAATATTAATTTTTTTATTATTAAAAATTTTTTAAAGTAATAATAAAAGTAAAAGTCTTTTTTATAAGAAATTTTCAATTACAGAGGTTATATACTCAACCTTTTCTATTGAATATCCAAAAACTTTATTACAAGATATAACTACTATTTTCAACATTTTTATTTAATCAAATCTAATAATTTATTTTAATAATATAAGTATACTTTATGATAAATATTTAAAAAATATTTTGATATCTTTTATTTAATTTTAGATATTTTTTTTTAGATATAATATTCTATTAATAGTACTAGAAGATAACTTAATTAAAAATTATCTATTTTTTAGAGTATTGGTTAAAAAATATAAATAAAAATATTAAGAAATTAAGTATTATACTTTTGCTAATTTAGAATTTATTAAAGAATCACATAACGAAATTAATATAAAATCTGAAACTATTATTAAAGCTAATTAATATCAGAATAAAAGTAATATAAAAACTAAAACTTATACATAAGATTTATATAATTATTAATATTATATTTTTTTTTACTAATGAAATTTTATAAATATAAATTATTTCTTGCTACTTAATCATCAGTTTGTAAATATAAAAATAATAATAATCAGTATTGTAATAGATAAGCAAAATTAAGAAAAATTATTAAAAATACTGGTAAAAGTGAAGAATATATTATTAGATATAATAAATGAATTAAAGAAGAAAAATAATATTATTATATTAAAGTTTTAGAAAAGATTAATTTAAAATTATTACACAATTTTTTTCAAAAATAAATTGTTCATATTTTTAATATATATTTATTTTATATAGTAAATATAATAAAGTAATAATTATTCTTTTATTTAAATTAATAATTCTAATACTAATAAAGAATGCTTATCTTAATTTCACATTCTTCTAAAAGTAAATTGTGTGATATATATTAAATTTATAATATAATATAAGTTAATAATTTTTTGATAAATTATATTGATTTTATATTTTATTTAGAATTTTTACATATTCAAAATAGTCAAATTATTAAAGAAAATATAATTAAATACAAATGTGATATTTGATTTATTAAATTTATTTCACATGATTTAGTTACATGTTTCTATATTACATTAGTATATATAGATATTCATAATCATCAACTACCACTACTTAATCATATACTTATTAGTCTTAAAGATGAATTGCAAATAATAATTTAAAATATTATTACTTCAGATAATTATGCAATACTGCATTCAATTATATTTAAGTATATATAATATTAATTTAATTATTATAATAACATATTAATATATATAATTTTAAATAGAAAATAGTGTTAAAGCAACTTTTGATAAGGATACATTATCAGAAGTTTATGCATCATTAAATAATATAGATAAACTTTGATCACTTATTATCAAATATTATAAAAATATTCATTCTTATGGCCAAGTTAATTTAGGAATTCTATATAGTGTTTAATATAAAAAATTTGATTTTTATAATTATGTTCATCATATAGGTAAATATATTTTCTTTATTTTGAATATAATATTAATATATTTTTATATTTATTAATAATTTATAAATTTTAAAATAGAACAATTTGAAGATGAACAAATATTAATTATATGTATACATGATTTTCAAGTAAAAGCATTATAAAAATTAAAATGTCTTCAAATTGATTTAACATTTAAAAGAGTTTCTAGAAATATTAATGAATTCAAAATTAATACATATGATAATATGCATAAATTAAGCAAGTATTTATTAATTTATTATTGTTTTTTTATATATTTAAATTAATTTTTTAATTTTTTTTAGTTCTTTCATATTGTCAATATTTTTACAACAAATGCATATAAATGATTGTTTACTCAACTTTTTGAAATTATTGAAAATTTGAGTAGAATTTCTGTAAAATTTTATCATATTGATGGTACAGGTTGGAAATGTATTCTAGGCGATCTTGATGCAGATAAGCAAAAGGATTAGGTTTAGCTTTATCAAAAAGAGATTCTAGCAAAGATTGGGAAACACATTTGACTTATATTTTAAATCATATTTAGTTCACTTTAATCGATAAGGTATTTTATTTTAAATTATAAAATTAAAAATTTTTAAAATTTTAAATAATTAATTTTTTTTTATTTTAGAAATTTGATAGCCAAAGAATTTAACAATGAAGTTTATACATTAGCAACATCAATTCCATTTAAATCTAATGCTGAAGAGGTTTATAAATGCTTTAAAAAATTGGAAACCTTTGATGAAAAAGGAATTATAGGTAATTTTTATTTTAAATTTTTTTAATTATAATATAATTTTATAAATTTAATTAATACAATTATTTTAATAGATTGGATTCAATATTATCGTCAACCTTATGTCTTAGCATCTTTAAATAAACATATTTCAAATATAAATAATGAAATTTTGGAACGATATGAAAATAATACTAATATCGCAGAGGCTGCACATGCTCAAGCTAATAGAGAAGGAAAACAATTAAACTTATTACAGCAATTTTAAGGTAAAATTTATATATTTTATCATTTCTTTAATTTAAATTATAAAAATTTTAATTAATTTGTTTTTATAGAGGTAAAAAATTATTTTAAAATAAAAGAAATTCATAATAAGTCTGGAGTTCCTTATATTAGAAAAGATAAAAGTGAAATTAAAAGCTATTACACGAAAAAGTAAGTAATAAATAATACAAAATTATTTTTTTATTATTAACTCTTTTAAATAATTTAATATAAAGGTACTCGTAAAAGAAATCATAAAGAAGTATTAAAGGAAGAATCTAAAAGTAAGTTATTATTAATGCATGATTAAGAAATATCCGATAAAAAAGGTGTAAAAAGAAAAGGCTGTTATAGATAGTTCAAAAGTCAAAAAACCCGAATCAATATTAATGAATCTGATAATGAACAAGAAAATAACTTATGTTTAGATATCGATATTGAAGAACGAAAGATGAAATTAGCTGAAAGGCAATTAGCATATCATAAACCTCAAGCTGAAATTGAAAAATTAGAATTAGAAAATATTAAATTACGTAAAGAGCTTGAAAATAATTAGAAATAAATGCATTTCATATTAATCAATAAATATTAAAATAAATAAAATACATTTTCAATATAAATTAAAATGGTTTAAAAACTATTTTATATATTTTTTATATAAAAGTTTAACAAAAATATTTTATCGAAAATTCATACATGTATAGTTTCAATTCTTTACATGTATAATGATGATCTATACATGTATGGTTTTTAAAGCATACATACCATACATTTAACCGTAACTGTACAGGTTTGCGTAATACCCATATTTTTAATATTTTTATGATATCATATGTGCACAAAAATTTTTGATGTGCACGTTTAAAATCACAAACGAAATCATGAGATAAATTGTAATACATTCTTTAGATTCTTTTTGCGAATAAGGAAATGAATGAATAGGAAATTAAGCTTATTTAGTAATGACAACAGGCGAATAATCGTACCTTGTGACCCAACACTAACGTATAAATGCCTGACGGATTCTCTTTTTTTTTTTTTAATTCAAAACAATGTCTACAACAAATACTCACGAAAATCTGCAAGGTGATGGAATCGTAACTATGCAGGTTGGTAGAGAATTTAGTTCACCGAATTATATTACTGAAAACTTATCACTATCGATATTATAGCCGGTGAGTGTGCAACAAATGCAACCCACTTATGCTGCTGAATTCCCAATACGCGATGATTTTCATGGCTTTTATGGTGGTATGATTAATTTTTTTGGAACGTTTTGTGGTTTCTTAGGTTCAGTGAGTATAATTCTTTTGATCTGGTCGGGTGTTGTAAAAAAAATTGATTGTTTTTTATCAAATAGATTCCTGTTTGTCCTTGTTTTCCCAATCCTTATAAAAAAGTCGAACAAGGTTATGTCGGATTGATTTCTCGATTTGGTAAGAAACGTAATGTTTAAGACCTGGTTCCTTCCCCCCAAAATAATTGAATTATTTAAAAATCATTTTAGGCAAATTTTATAAATTTGTTGATCCTGGTTTGGTTAAAGTAAATGTATTTACCGAATCTATCATTAGAGTTGACGTTAAGGTATTTTCGATATCAAAATTTTTATTTTAATTTTTTTTTTTAAAAAAAAGGATAAAACTCATGCGAATGTTTCATTAATTAGATCCAAATCACGGAAATCCCGCATCAGTTTATTATGACAAAGGTCTATATTTTAATGCAAACTTCAATTCAAATTTCATTCAGTTCTAACAAACTTTATTGAATAATTTAGGATAACGTATATGTACAAATTGATTCAATTATCTATTGGCATGTAGTCAGTCCTTATCAGGCAACATTTGGTATCGCAGATGTTCGCAAAGCTCTTATTGAACGGTTAGTTGTCTCAGTTTTTTTTTTCGCGAATTATTTGAAGATTATTAAAACTACTTTAACTTAATAGCACACAAACTACGCTGCGCCACATCCTTGGCACGCGCGTTCTTCAAGAATTCATTGAAAATCGGGAAGCCATCGCCTATGAGATTAAAGAGATCATCGACAAACCTGCCAATAATTGGGGTGTTAAAGTAAAATATTAAACAATAATTGCGAATTAAATTTTTTTTTTTTTTTAAAAAAAAAAAAAAAATAATAATAATAATATAAATTGTAGGTCGAAAGTATCTTAATTAAGGATATTGTATTTTCTAAGGAATTACAAGAATCTCTTTCATCGGCTGCTCAGCAAAAGAGAATTGGTGAAAGTAAAGTTATTGCTGCGCAGGCTGAAAGTAAATTCCGATTTCTTTAACTTATATTATGTCCTTTAATTGTGCAAGATTTTCTTTTTAATTATTCTTTAAAATTATTTAGTTGATGCTGCTAAATTAATGAGACAAGCTGCAGAACTTTTGAACTCACCGGCTGCTATGGTAAGTTAAATAAAGAAATGTAACAAATTTACTTCCCTTATATTAAATTTATCCATTTACTTTTATATAGCAAATACGATATCTTGAAACAATGTCATCAATGTCCAAATCTTCAGGAACCAAAGTTATTTTCATGCCATATAGTACGGATGGAAGTGTTGCAGGACCTTCTGGAAATAAAATTGATCCTGTAACAGCTTCTGTTTATCAACAAATCTCTGAACAACATTAAATTAAGTTATTGAAAAAAGAAAATTTGTTATATTAATATCCCTAATTAATTATAATTTAAATAAAATTTTAAATTGAAAATATTTTCAAATCAAATGCAAATTGAAATAAAGTAAAAAAATAAAAGAAAATAGTATAGATAATATATCAAATATACAAATTTTAGAAAATTGATTATTTTTCTAATGATATATTATATTGGAAAAATTGTTAGAAAGATCAGGTTCTGGGAATTTTTTAACAAAATTTTGATTCTTATCTGTTATTATATTTTAGTTTTGATATTATTAGGTTAAATATAATAAGGTAGGTTTTAATTTTAATCAAAAAAAATTTTCAGAGTCTGATTTTTATAATATTTATTCAAAAAAAAACACAGTCGTACCTCTATAGTCACACAGTTTGGTGTACAAAAATGATATGCTTATATTGATATGTGACTGTATAATAGTTTTTTGTTTTTTACTTTCTACAAGCTTCTGTCACATAATATCCATATATTTTCTAAAAATACGCATTTTCTTCATATTTATTTCTTTGTTATCTTGCTTTTTAAAATATTAGATCCATGTTTTTAGTCTGTTAAAATCTTCTTGTGTTGTTATTGCCAAACTTTCATTATCAGATTTGCTATTATCTAATTCAACTATATTACATTCTTTATCTAAAACCAAACATATAATTTCAATATCGGTTAGTATTTACTCTGTTGAAATTATCAAATCAATTGTTTCTAAATATTTATTTAATTCTAATAAAAAAGATTTATCTTGAATAGATGAAAATCTTTGCAAAAGATCTTTAATAATTTTTTGATTTTCTTGAATTGCTAATTCATTTTGTTAAATATCATCAATATTATCAATATCATTAATATCATCATTATTAATGGTTGGTAAAATCCCGATTTTTCGCCAACAATTAGTAATTGTCTCTACTGTTACTAAATCCTAAGCTTTTGCAACATATTCTATAGCTTTTTTAACATTAATTTTATTTCTAAAAACAATTTGTTTTTTTACTAAATAAATGTAGTATTTAAGAAATCAATATAATAAATACATTAAATTAAATACTTACTTTTTTAAATCAACATTTGCTTCAAATTGATGAAGAATATGTTGTATATAATGTTGCTTATAAATTGCTTTAAAGCTTTTAATAATTATGGCATCCCTAGGTTGCAAATGAGCAGTTGTGTTAGATGAAAGAAAATGTACTCTAACATGTGATAAATTCAAATTACCACTTTTTTAATTTCTTGATTATTATCCTTATCAGGATTGAAATGAGATGATACATTATCTATAAGTAACAATATTTTTTGATTTTGTGTTTGAAATATAATATTAATATATTCAAGCCATTCACTAAAAATATCACTTCTCATCCATGCCTTTGAATTAGCATAATAATTGCATAGAAGGGAATTTCTATTGATTCAGTAGAGACATCTAGGATTTTTTGAGGAACCGATTACAAGTGGTTTAAGTTTTTGTGTACCAATAGCATTTGTAGTCAAAAGAATGGTAATACGAAATTTATCCTAAAAAATTTGTGAAAAAAATTTTTAAAACTTAAAAAAAACAATAATAAAACTCCAATTCAAAGTAAATGATTGAGTTACCTGTTTTATTCCTAGAGTGGGAGCTGATGCAAGAGTTTTATTAGGTGTTATATGAAAAAAAAGACCAGTTTTATCAGCATTGAATATATTATCAAGTGTGTAGTCTTACAAAATTTCTTATAATTTTTTTCTTTCCTCAGAAAGAATTTCTAACGGTGTACTATTTGCTTCACCATGTAAGCGATAGCTATGAATATTATTCCGTTTCTTGAACTTTTTTATCCAACTATTTGAAAAAAATATCTTGTCGTGTGAAATATTAAGCTTTTATGCAAAAAAAAAGCCTTTTCCTTAAGTAACATTTCTGAAACTGCAAGAATATTAGCATTTGTATTTTCAACCCATAAACCTAATGCCATTTCAATTTGAGAATATTTAACTTCTCTATGACGAAAAGTTTTAGAGCTAGCTAGTATTGAAGTAATTGCAAGCCACTTAGCTTTCTTTCCTAAAATTTTGGAAACTGTTGAATAGCCAATATGAAGATTCTGATTTTGCTGGTTAAAATAGTCAGCAATTTGTTGTTGACTTTTATTTTTATTTTCAGGTTTTGTAAAATATATACATATTTGTTACTTTATGTTATCACTTATTGCAGAACGTGATCTTTTTGGACTTGGAATAACTGGCATTTTGAAATAGGTGATGAGTGATTTTTAGTGGTTTTTTAGTGATACTTTAGGTAAAATAGCAGCGCTTTTGATAGTACTTTTGATATTTTCACCAAATGAAAAGTTTATTTTAAAAGTTAACAAAATTCATCACTAAAAAAATGCGTGACCAAACTGACATATTTTTTAATGACATTTTTATCAACTATATAACTATACGAAAAATACAGAGAAGAAATTTAAACATTTTTCTCCCGATATTTTTTTGTGATTAAATTTAGCTATTTATATTTCTAATTAAATCATGTAATATGATTATATAGAGGTTATTTGTAATGTTTAGATGCACATAGTTGATATGATTGTGATTATAATCCTATTGTGACTAAATAGAGATCGTTTCTTTAATTAAAAATTTTAGCGCAAAAAACTTGTTGACTATATAGAGGTTGTATTTATATAGGGGGTGACTATATAGAGGTATGACTGTACTATTTTTTTAACATTTTTACATACTGTATATGTGATATACAGTATTGTAATACTAATAAGCTGCTAGTGTAAAAATTTATCAAAAATTCAAATTTTTATTGGCTAATTTCTAATCATGTGATTCAGATTAGTTCTAGAAAATTTGAAACATAATCACATGATTGTTGAATTAAGAATTCTGATATCATATTTGACTGTTTTAATATTAAATTAGGGCCAATTTTAAGCTGATTTATAGTTAATATAAGTTTTATTCTGATTGGTCATTTAGACAATCAGAAAACGTAACCAAATAGTATTAAAATTAGTTTAAATTTGGCTATCTGATTTTTAGCTGATTTGAACTATTTTGATTAGTATCTTTAAACTTCATCCTATTATTTTTAAATAATATTTTTTATTCATTTTCCAATCTTTTATGTTAATCTTTTTATTTTATTAGCTACATTGATAAAGATTTTTTAAGTAATTAATTTATATTTATTAATGTAAAAGTAATATTTTACATAATTTATTAATATTAATTCTATGATTTTTAAGAATTTGCACTAAATTGTGATTATCCCTTTAAGTTAAATAAATGGTTAACTAATTTGAAAAGAGAATAAACTATACTTTTTGGATAATTTAATATTTCACTTATTTTTCTTTACACTTTTAAACACTATAATTCCACCGGATCGTCAAAATATTCACCTATTGGTCGCTGTGCTACATGAAATTAACTCCTAAGTAAAAAAAATTCTAAAATTAAGAAATTCCTGCAATAAGACTATGGGTATTAACAGTGGTGCGATGTGCTAGATTCAGTTTGCAATAAGCTGTAATCATTTGACCATATAGAATTGGAATTTTAAATTTTACAAGTGCCAGAACTTCGAATGGTAAATACAAAATGTATTTATATTTCCCTTTACCTTCATTATAGTGTATTAATGTTCTTTTTATCATAGGGTTAGAAGGCATCATTTTCGATAACATGTTATTTATACATGGGTGTCAACGAATTTGACTTTCTGATAAGGAAAATTTACAATGTTAAAATTGCTTTTAATCTAATTTTAGCGCAGTAGTAAGTTTGATATCTTTGATTTATTAATTCATTTTCGGAATGTTTAGTTTACTTATCATATTGTCTTTTCCTCATTGTTTCTCGGTGCTGTATCTGATTCCTTGTCATCGACCTCTGTCATTTAATGTCATCAGCCGCTTGAGTAGCTTCATTGATATCATAAATGTACTGAAACCCCGGAAATTCCTCCACGTATTTCAATTGGGCATTTACAGAAATTGGTTACTTGTATGGCTGAAAATTGACACAATAATCCATCCATCAACTGGTAGAGCTCTTTTTTTTTTGTCTTGAATTTATTGATTTAATTCTAATTAATAATGATTGTGTCAATTAATATCTATTAATGCTAGCAATCTGATCACTTCGAAATGCTTTCTGATATTTAAACAAGCGTGACCGCAACCTTTCAATCCAATACCAACATTATAAAAGTGTATGGAACAACAGATACAGAGGTCTGTTTCTTATTTTGTTCCCTCCTTCTGCACCGCATTCTTATCATGTATAGTTACTTAATAGTTACAGATTGCTCGTTGTCAACAAGATTTTCATGTAGTATTGATAGTTATAACTGGGGATTTGCTGAGACGTGATATAGAGAAGTAAAAATCACCCCAATCCGCTCTCGAAGCGAAATTTTTTATTTGAAGGATGCGGAACAAATATAGATATATAGGAGATATATTAAGTTTAGAAAAACTGGCTTTTTGGGGTAAATATTATAAAGAAGGATTGGTTTAGCAATAAGGTCCATGACAGAGATGGCGGAAGTGGCATAATAATATTTTTAATATACATATTCTTGTAGTTTATGGTCTTAAAAAATTTTCATTTTCACTTTTTTTTTTTTTTTTTTTTTTTTTTTAAAAAAAAAAAAAATACCGAGGATTTAGAACTACTGAACTTGTTGAGATAGGTAGTTCGTAGAGATAAATATGAGGAACAAACACTTGTTGGTTATTTTGTTCCTATAGACTGTCATATTTTGTGAGTTCTATTGAGGAAACAGTTGGCAAGCAAAAAAAAAGCATAGATTTATTAAACAAATAAGTGAATATTTAAAATGAAATTCCAAGTTATAGCGTTATCATATGGTAATAAGTTGCAAATAATTTATTAGCTTTTCTTTCATTATAACATAGATAATTAATAAATTTGGTTTATTATTCGTTCCTCTTAGTAAAAGCTATTGAAACAAGTAGAGAAGCCTGCATATCTTTACCTGACGTTGCCGAAATACATCAAAGTCAACTACTAGAGCTAATGCGAACTATAAATTCATGATTTTTGGACTCGACCTTTTCCAATACAGTATATACTGATTAATTTCTTTGATCTTGGTGGAAATTCAATTGAAGCAACAAAAGATTAAATTTTGAACTAGGAATTGTCCTTGCAGAACGTGATCATGTCGTGATGTCGTGATTCATAATGGAGATTATATACATTTGTATATATTAGTTAATTTTTATTGATTATAGAATAATATCAGTTAGTGGGGTTAATACGATGATCGGCATACAAATTAAGCACTTTTAATAAAATGGTGAATTTGACAAATTTTTAAGTTGTGCTATTATCTTTATCTTAAATCCTAAAATAGCGAATGCTTGGGAACTCTTAAGTGCTAAATCTTGCCTTAGTGCATTCAAACCTTTACTAGTTGATCGTGATGAAAGAAAAGAATTTATTATACAAGTTATAGGTCAATGCTTAGCATGGATGAAGTCACGGATATGGATTGATTCAACTGGACAAGCGTAGTTGCAATCGCGTTATTAAAGATTGTGCTAATTTTTGTAATTGTTTATAAAAATTATCCTTGAAGATATATAATATTTCATGTACATAGTTCATAAGTACATAACTGTATGTATTAAAGTTGTTCTTTTGATCATGAAGTGGCTAGATGACGTCTTTTTTTTTCACAAACACGTTGTTATTCATGGATGTTTAAGAATTTGATAAGGAAAATTTTACAACGTTTAGCGTGAAATTCTATCTGATAGATTTTTTTATTTCTCGGTGCTGAATTACATGTTCCGATGTTCCGATCATGAAGATATTAGCATTTAGGTTGGCTACTTGGATGGCTGAAAATGAAGACACGATTATTAATTCATTTTGTCTTGAAATTTACTTGATATATTCTATTATTAAGTAAAAATTTAGATGTAGGAGAATAGGATTATAAAAAATAAAAGTTTATGATTTATAGATGCTTTTATTTTGATAATAAACACGGTCTAGAAACATATACTATATATATATATAAAAAACACTAATCAAAATACAAATATTATAACTCATATAAATTAAGATAATTAATATAACTATAAAATTACTAATAGTAATAGCTATTTACTACAGATTTCAATCGTTGCTCCATCCTTTCGCATTTCAATAGCCTAATCCTTTTCTACCATTATCTTCTGAAAAGTTCCCAACCTTTTTATTTCTCCTTGATGGCCACTTTTCAAACTTCTTTCTTCTGGTTCAATTCAACCAATTCTTGTGTTAGACGATCGATTTGTATTTTTAGTCGAGCCATATTCTTGGTATCAAGATGGAGAAAAATGAAAAGATAGCCTTCTAAAATTGAAGACATCAAGATTTTGCAAGTTAAGATTTTTTGGGCTCGAAGTTTATCGAACCCAATTTCCAAGTCTAAAATATATTTTCTCCATCTATTTCAACCTCTTTCCTCCTCTAGTTCTTTTCGACAGCTTCATCTTTTTAAACTTTTTTAAAGAATCCATTTTTTTCCGGTTCTTTTTCTTTATCTTTATTTATCTTATTCAACCTTTTTTCTCTCTATTTCATTCCTTTTCTGGGAAAAAAATTATATAGGTATAGGTAAGGTCTGAGTTTGAGTATTTAATATTTTTTATTGATAAATTTTTGTTGGCAGAAATAATGTTTGTTCGTTTTACGGTAATTAATTGTTATAGAAGACATAAATAGAGAGTAAATTTTTTGTTGGCAGAAATAACGTTTATCGCCAAAAATCACTTTTTTATTTTTTTCGGGTAAATAAAAATAAATTAAACTAGTTAATTGATTGGTTAGTTTGAAGCATCAATTTCATTGGTTGACATTTATGATGATCATCAAAATATAATTGGCTAACAATTGCATAAAAATTATGTATTTTTTTATTTACATTTCTAGATTTTTAATTTTTAATTAATAATTTATTTAATAAGTATTTTACATATGTTTGTATCTTATATTTTATAGCTTAAAAATGTTATTAAAAAAGAAATAAAATAGAAAAATCTAATTTAGCATAATTTTATTAAAATAAATAGTGTATTTAGTATTTGAAATTTGATATTTGAAGCATTAAATTTTACATATAACTTAAAATTATTACATATATAATGCACACATAAAAAATTTTATATATTTATATATACTTTTGTATACAATTTGTATAGTTTCATTAGTTTTA